CTTTGAAGAAGCGTTAGAAAAAATAAGGTCGAGAAATCTGCCATGAGTGTTATGAATTGGATTAATTTGGAGCAGGGCAAGATCGGTTAAGCCATCGATAAAGTCGTTATGACAACTGGAAAGCAAGGAATTGTCTACCTCAGACGGGATCCAGGAAATGATGGGAAGGTTGAAATCTCCCATGATTAGGATTAAATCACGGTCCTTGGCCAACGAAGAGACAGACCTAATGGCATCAAGATGGTGAAAGTACACAATATCTTCAGCCATGGGAGGAATGTAGGAACAGGTCAGAAGAATATGAGACGAGCCAGTTAAAATTTTCACCGCAATGAACTCAATTCCGAACTCGTTCGTGAAAGGAATAATTTGAGAAGGGTACTTATTAGTAACAGCAATGAGGACACCACCTGCAAAAGTTGGACGATCCAATCGAAACACTATGAATTTGGAAACAAGAATTTCATAATCAGAGACAGAGGAGTTAAGCCAAGTTTCAGTAAGCACGATAGCATCAAAATCAAAAGAAACACTCTTTGTAAAAAACTGGCTCAGCTTACCCAGAATACTTCTAACGTTTTGATAGCAGCAGGAAAATACTATGTTATTCAGTTTTTTGAAGCAGTTTCTGCAGGGATAGGATTCTGAGCGTCTTTTGCTAGGAATTCATGAACGATACTGTGCTCAGGCCAGGCTACAGGATCAAGTGCTTTTTCAAGGTAGGAATCAGGTAGAACTATTTTAAAAGAAGATATAGAACGCTTATGCTTAAAGTTAAACTTAAAAATAGCTTTTTCATTAGGAGCTACCTTAAGATGGTTTAACAGGTGACTCTTGACATCATCAACAGTAGCATCCGGCATAAGCCGAGAGACAAAAATGGTCTTACGAGGAGCAACCGCCCTCAGCGTAAGTCCAGAAGATCTAACTTCAGGCGCCACACCAACCAGAGGCCTTGGAGACATCACAGCTAGAGCAGAGGGTAGGTTGTCCAACGATGGGGGTTGTCCAACGATGTCCAACGATGGAGGCTCCAAGATGAGAGGTGGCTCGAGATTTGTACTTGGTACGCTGATCGCTTCTTGCAAGGGATGAATATTAGAGTGCCCTGAAGGAAGGCTCATCAAGTCCCTTGGTACTGGAACAGCATAAGTAGGTAGACTAGTAGGCGACGGTAAAATGTTTGGTGTTGAAAATTCATCGACTTGTACAGCATGGGATGTAGGGGTATTCAATAATTTAGCAGTCAGAAGGTTGTTGTTTGGAATTTTTCGTCTGGGGGATTCACTTAACAACTTTAGCCCAAGGAATTGAGTTTCAAGAGCTCATTAAGGGCCGAGAATTGCTTGCGGACATCTAGGAAACCATTTCTCGTCTGTTTCATAAAAGTCCGCATCTCTGACTCAATTTCTCTACAAGCGATGCAAGACCATGTCAGGCCAATTTTCTTGTTGATAAGGTCACTTATCCGTCCATTGTGTCCTCCTCCAGCACATTTAATATGTGAGCAGTTATTGCAGAGCCAACAAGACAGGTATGAGTCACCCGTGATGGTTCCACCAAATTCACATTTTTTTGCTGTGCAAGTAAGACTCATTTTTGGCTTCTTTTTGACGGAATGCAGACCACTGTAATAGCGTGTAAAGAATTTAGGCTCTCTGAAGCACTCTGTAGCCGAGAGTGGACGATCAGATCGGATGTAAGAGATGACGTTACAAAAGAGATGTGCAACGAAGGTTCGGCGTCGTGAAGAACAACAAACTCCACAGTAACTATGAATGTAACGGGTTACGTCCGGAGAGTACAGCTCGGAGAGACTTATGTTGGAGAATATAGTTAAAGCGCAACAGAGATAACTTTAACCGATTAAATGTATAAATTGGAAATAAATAGTTCAATGAACTTAATAAGTCGAATTTATTTTTAGGGATTAATTGTTATATTTCAACTTGTCGCAGAAGGAGAAAGCTTGAGTTCAAGATCGAAAATAATTGCAAACTGCAAGTGAACGGCAAGTGAATATACAGAACTATGATGTATCTTCTTAAATAGCTGGAAATTCCCAAAAAACTTTTAATTTGTTTTTGTGTCGTTGGTAGTTTTTATTTATCGATTGCCTCGACTTTCTTCGAACTTGGTTTTAAAAACTCTATTTCGCATTTGGCAAACTCACATTTGTCAATTTGAAGTTTCAAGTTCTAGCATCGGCGAGACATTTTAATATTTTATTTAGATGTTCAATATGTTCTTCGATTGTTTTCGAAAAAAGAAGAAATATTTTGCCTTTTTGTACCAGTACCAGGGTTATCCTCTGCCCGTGGTTGGTTCATTTTTTTTGCAGCAGTCTTTTTGAATATTACAGCTCCCACAAAATATAATGCAGTACGATGATTAATTTTATGTTGTATGCATTGTCCAACCTAGCAGTCCCTGTAGGGTGAGATAAGCGACGGCGGTGATGATGATTGCCAAAGCTCGGTCTCAACAAGTTCTCAAGTTCATTCACGGACTCGCTAATATCATAATTAATAAGTGGTCAAAATTTGGTGTTGATCGGATTAATAGTTTTTTAGTAATCATGTCCACCGCAAAGGTAATTTCGAAAAAAAAAAGATTCTGAGATAATCGCGTTTAAAGTTTCAAGTGAATTCAAGTTTGATATGCAGGTAGTGCGCTATAAATAGCTACAACTTCGGTTCTAATGCTCTGATCGTTATGAATTTTTGTGAGAGTATTCTCAACAGTATATACTTAAAGAATATGCCATAAAAAAAAATCGATTTTACATCTATTACAACTGTATATAACCCCTTAAGTCGCTAGCTTTAAAAACGAAAATAAAATATTCGCTATGGAATTCAAACGTAATAGTGTAATTGCATTGTATTTAGCTGGAAAGGCACAACCAGAGATTGTTCGTGAGCTTAAACAGATTAATGGGAATAAAGTTTTCGTTTATCGCACCATAACCCGTTAAAATGATATTGGTAGCATCGCAAAACGCCATGGAGTTGATCGTTAGACATGGGTAATCATCGTTCTTTTTAGGGAATAAGATCGTTCGTTCTTATTTTTAGGACTGAACTAGGTCGTTCTTTTTGTTATTTTCGTTAATTCAAACAATATTAAAAAATTTATATTTAAAAAATTTAAAAATTTCCATATTTTACTGTGTTTTCTTTTAAGATACATTTCGCTGTTGTCCACTCAAAAGTTTGTTTACACAATATTTTCAGTTACAGGGATACATAATAAGAGTGTAGTGATGGTCAAAAAACTCCAACGTCACTTGAGTTGGTTCAAAAAGTGAAAAAGCGACTTGAGCGAAATCCCCGACGATGTGCCAATCAAATGGCGAAAGAACTAAAAATATCTAACCCTATCATCCGCCGCATAGTAAAAAATGATCCCGAGGTCAATCCTTATAAGATCATAAAAGATCATTATCTTACACCGAAGCAACAACAAGTTAGACCTAAGAGAGCAAAGAAGTTGCTTCGCTTGGCCGCAACTGGACAATTTCCGAACATTGTGTTTTCTGAAGAGAAAATTTTTCCAATTGAGCGATTCGTAAACACCCAGGGTTTCACTGACGACCGTTTGTACGATAAATTGAGGCAGCGATTGGCAACCAGGAGCCACCACCAACCACAGGTAATGGTTTGGGCCGCTGTAACCCAAGGTAGGCGCTCTTCAATCGTTTTTAGCGAGCCTTATCAGAAAAGTATTCTGAAGGTTGCCTCGAAGCCGTGGCCAGACAAACATTTCGGTGGCAGTCCATGGACATTTCAACAGGACTCAAAACCGTCTCATAAAGGCCGAGTGAACCAAGAATGGCTGGAAAACAATGTTTCGAACTTCATAACGTACACACAATGGCCCTCGAATTCACCTGATGCGAATCCGCGGGATTATTCTCTTTGGGCCTTTTTGGAGAGCAAGGTCCGAACCAAATAACACAACAGTCTCGAGGGCCAAAATACCCGCAAGTTACATTCGGGCAGCTTGCGATTCGTTCTTCGACCGTCTCTAGGCTATAATCAAGGCAACAGGGTGTCACATCGAGGAAAAATGAATTTTCATTAAGTTTTAGATTATTTTTACACGTACTGAGCTGTGAATTAAATAAAATTAACTTTCCAAACATAATTTATAACCTTTTACATTGGTTACACTTCAAGTTCCGGACCCTGTACAAAAAAAAAAGAAAAATAATTTTAAAAAATATTTTTTTCTGACTACTTATTTATTTATTTATTTCGCCAACGGACAATCCTTACAAATTAACAACTTACAACTAATAAATAATACTAACAAAAACTTAATAAATTCCTGATTAATTTGCGTTTTAACACACCCTTATCAGAGCCCCACTCAATTTGGAGGCTAGGCGGCAAAGAATTAAAATAAGAAAGAGCTAATTGGCCCTATGACACTTGACCCGAAAGGGGGCAAAGGTACGAAGATCGAAGATATTTAGATGTTTGGTCTTGATGAAAGTGAATGGTACAATTAAACAAGCATTCAAATGACATAAACTAAGTTTTTCCAGCATCATTAGCTCTTAAGTTATTAGTAATTTGAATTTAAAACTTTTTTGTAGAACAAAAAATGTTAATGCAAATGAACATGCTAATTTTTTCGAAAAAAAACACACAAACAGATTGAAAGACAAGACAACATTTTTTCAGTGATCAGTGATTTAGTGATCCTTTATGTAAAATTTTATAATGCCGACTCTACCCTAAAGCTGCATATTTTTGTGATAGAAGGTTTGGGGGTATAAAGATTCCATTTTTCCTGAATAAACTGAGAATATCCTATAACTAAAAGATGTAGGAAAAATGTTGCAAATACCGAACTATATTATTTGCGGTATGTTTTATGTGTTTTTTCTATATAAAATGCCTTTTAAAAGAAATAGTATGTCACCGTTCCTTGGTAGCTTTTCTTGTTCCAATTCAATTAAAAATACTAAAAAATAATTCATACATTTTCAGCTTTCGGCAACTTTATTTACATTTTCACGTAAATAAAGGCAATCTCGCTTTTGAGTTTGATCAGGTGCATATTATATGTCCAGTATACGAACCAGGGACGTTTGACAACGAAACAGAAAAATATATCATTTACAATGTATCTAAAGTGGAGTACGAAACTTGTCGCATAACAAATGCAGATCCGCGAGTAATAGCAATATGTGATAAACCTCGAAAACTAATGTTTTTTACTATTACTTTCCGACCATTTACACCGCAGCCAGGTGGATTAGAATTCTTACCTGGAAATGACTATTACTTTATTTGTGAGTGTGTTCAATTTGTAGTTATTATCTTATTTAATTGAAATTGTCCTTTTTTTATTTAGCAACTTCATCCAAGGACGACCTTTACCGTCGAATTGGTGGTCGTTGTTCCACAAATAATATGAAAGTTGTATTCAAAGTGTGCTGTGCCACTGAAGAAAAAAACAAAACTTCAACGACCAGCAAAACAGTTGTTACCACTAATAGTCCCAATGTTGCTCCCAATGATGTTGGTCATAATAATTTGTATGGAAAAAGTATGGGTCAAGGGAATAATATTGGTATAAGTGGTGTAAGCAGTGGCATAGTGCCTCCTCCTTCTATATATCCTCCTAATGGCAACAGCGATGTTAATATTAATGGTATTGGAACTAGTATTAATACAAATCTTGATTAGTTTAATAGAATTCCGATTCAACCAAATATAATTGGTAATAATATTGGCACGAGCTCTGATGGGGCAGCTAATGTCGTAAGTAATGGAGGAGTTTTGCCTGCACATGGTCATGGCAGCATCAACATGCTGCAACCAGGACGTGGTGGGATAAACACACCTTATCCAGGACATCATCACATTCAAACTGGCATCCGGATAAATAATGTTCCCACTCATCATAGTTATCCGACCCACAAAGGAAATCCCAGCAGCAATTCGAATGGTAAGCACTTATTATATTTTTATACCCTTGCAGAGGGTATTATAATTTTGTCCAAAAGTGTAAAGTAAAGTATAGTAAAGTATAAAGTAAAGTATATATATTCTTGATCAGGATCACCTCCTGTCTGTCTGTTTCTACGCAAATTAGTTTCTCAGTTTTAAAGCAGATTGATCGGAAATGCGGATTGAGCAGATTGACACCAAATAACTTTGGTGTTTTTAGAGTTAGAGAGTTCGGAATGATATGTTTGGCAAAATAATACGACCCGCCCAATTTCATACGGATCGGCCAACTATAAAACTGAATGATCGGAAATGAATGTAAATATGTATGTAAAAATCGATTTTTTCATCTATCACAACTGTATATAGCCCCTTAAGACTAATTTATCTATTGCGACGGAGCGAATTTGAGTTTTCGCTTCCGCTCCGCTATGAGCTATCTTAGACTAGATTTAGATACTAACAATTCAACTACAAAATACAATTTAAATTAAAAACAAACTTCAAATGAATATAAAATTCAATCAAATTGAATTTAACAAAAAGACTAAAAAACATTCAATTAAGTGCATATTCTGACGATTTTAAGCCGATTATTAAACGAGACAAAACCAAAAATAAACATATTATATTATTATAACTATTTATTATAACTGGCCAACGAAATTTCAAATTGGTGCTCATATTCAGGCGCTTGTCTTTCCCGTTCAAAATTTAAGCACATGCATATTTGCCACAAACACCACTGCGTATGCAATACATCCTTTTAATCCATAATCAATTGTGCAGATTCAAATATCTGTAAAATAATACAAAACAAGAAAAGAAAGCTAACTTCGGGCGGAGCCGAAGTTTATATACCCTTGCAGTTAAAACCGGATATGTATCGCAAACATCGGATATAGTTGGCCGAGCCTTATGGGAAAAGGAATATATAATCCAATTTATTACAATACAAAATCTAAAAAAAGTCCCAAACTTCTATTTTCAAAAATACAAAAGTTGATATTTCTACCAAATACCATTTCCGATCGTTCAGTTATATGGCAGCTAAAGGATATAGTCGGCCGATCCTAATGAAATTTAGTGGGTCGAATCAACTGACCAAAAATAGAATCTGTACCAAGTTCCAGCTTTCTATCTTCAAAAACACGAAAGTTGGGTCATTTCCGATCGTTCAGTTATATGGCAGCTAAAAGATATAGTCGGCCGATCCGAAAATCGGCCGAAATTTGGCATGTCGTATTATTTTGCCAAAAAAACCTCTCCCCTAAAATTTGAACTCTCTAACTTTAAAAACACCAAAGTTATACCATTTCCGATCAATCAGTTATATGGCAGCTATAGGATATAATCGACCGATCCGGGCCGTTCCGACTTATATACTGCGTGCAAAGGAAAGAAGGGTGTGTGCAAAGTTTCAAGACGATAGCTTTAAAACTGAGAGACTAGTTCGCGTAGAAACAGACAGACGGACAGACAGACGGACAGACGGACAGACGGACATGCTCATATCAACTCAGGAGGTGATCCTGATAAAGAATATATATACTTCATAGGGTCTGAGATGTCTCCTTCACTGCGTTGCACACTTTTGACCAAAATTATAATACCCTCTGCAAGGGTATAACAAGAAAGGAAAGCTAACTTCGGGCGGAGCCGAAGTTGATATACCCTTGCAGTTAAAACCGGGTATATATCGCAAACATCGGATATAGTTGGCCGATCCTTATGAAATTTGGTAGGTTGGATGAACTGACCAAAAATCTGTATATAGAATAGAACCTGTACCAAGTTCCAGCTTACTATCTTCAAAAACACGAAAGTTGGGTCATTTCCGATCGTTCAGTTATATGGCAGCTATAGGATATAGTCGGCCGATCCTTATGAAATTCGGCATGCTGTAATGTTTTGCCAAAAAAAGCACTCATGTTCAATTTGAACTCTCTAACTCTAAAAACATCAAAGTTATACCATTTCCGATTAATCAGTTATATGGCAGCTATAGGATATAGTCGGCCGATCTCCGTCGTTCCGACTTATATACTGCGTGCAAGGGAAAAAAGGGTGTGCGCAAAGTTTCAAGTCGATAGCTTTAAAACTGAGAGACTAGTTCGCGTAGAAACAGACAGACAGACAGACGGACAGACGCACATGCTCATATCAACTCAGGAGGTGATCCTGATCAAGAATATATATACTTTATAGGGTCGGAGATGTCTCCTTCACTGCGTTGCACACTTTTGGACAAAATTATAATACCCTCTGCAAGGGTATAAAAAATCCCTATCTTCAAAAACACGAAATTTGGGTCATTCCCGATCGTTCAGTTATATGGCAGCTATAGGATATAGTCGGTCGATCCTTATGAAATTTGGCATGTCGCAATATTTTAGGTTTCGTGTAAGATTTTAACTCTCTAACTCTAAAAATACCAAAGTTATACCATTTCCGATCAATCAGTTATATGGCAGCTAAAGGATAAAGTCGGCACGGTCGTTCCGACTTATATACTGCGTGCAAAGGAAAGAAGGGTGTGCGCAAAGTTTCAAGTCGATAGCTTTAAAACTGAGAGACTAGTTCGCGTAGAAACAGACAGACAGACAGACGGACAGACGCACATGCGCATATCAACTCAGGAGGTGATCCTGATCAAGAATATATATACTTTATAGGGTCGGAGATGTCTCCTTCACTGCGTTGCACACTTTTGGACAAAATTATAATACCCTCTGCAAGGGTATAAAAAATCCCTATCTTCAAAAACACGAAATTTGGGTCATTCCCGATCGTTCAGTTATATGGCAGCTATAGGATATAGTCGGTCGATCCTTATGAAATTTGGCATGTCGCAATATTTTAGGTTTCGTGTAAGATTTTAACTCTCTAACTCTAAAAATACCAAAGTTATACCATTTCCGATCAATCAGTTATATGGCAGCTAAAGGATAAAGTCGGCACGGTCGTTCCGACTTATATACTTCGTGCAAAGGAAAGAAGGGTGTGCGCAAAGTTTCAAGTCGATAGCTTTAAAACTGAGAGACTAGTTCGCGTAGAAACAGACAGACAGACAGACGGACAGACGCACATGCTCATATCAACTCAGGAGGTGATCCTGATCAAGAATATATATACTTTATAGGGTCGGAGATGTCTCCTTCACTGCGTTGCACACTTTTGGACAAAATTATAATACCCTCTGCAAGGGTATAAAAAATCCCTATCTTCAAAAACACGAAATTTGGGTCATTCCCGATCGTTCAGTTATATGGCAGCTATAGGATATAGTCGGTCGATCCTTATGAAATTTGGCATGTCGCAATATTTTAGGTTTCGTGTAAGATTTTAACTCTCTAACTCTAAAAATACCAAAGTTATACCATTTCCGATCAATCAGTTATATGGCAGCTAAAGGATAAAGTCGGCACGGTCGTTCCGACTTATATACTGCGTGCAAAGGAAAGAAGGGTGTGTGCAAAGTTTCAAGTCGATAGCTTTAAAACTGAGAGACTAGTTCGCGTAGAAACAGACAGACGGACAGACCGAAAATAAAAAGCTTCGCTTTTCTATCTATATTTTCTATGGAGAAAACTTTTTCCAACCCAATTTTTGAGAAAGTTGTTCTCCGTGAAAACATTTTGATTTTTAGTTTGGGCTGTCAAGTGAATCAAAATGAGAGCTTCTAAAAAAAATATGAGAGTGCTCGCACTGTCAGTGTACCGGCAGCGGTGCGGCAGAATTTCCTACCCTATACACGCGTGCTATATAAAATGAGAGTTGGCCCACCCCTGGTTTAATTCCTCAAAAAGGAATTGCTCCACCAAAAAGGAAAAGGAAAAAAGTATCGATGTGGAAATCGATTTTTTTTGCAGCTGAAGACTGAAGAATTTGCCTTTTCAAGCGCAAATTTATGCAATAACAAGAAAGGAAAGCTAACTTCGGGCGGAGCCGAAGTTGATATACCCTTGCAGTTAAAACCGGATATATATCGCAAACATCGGATTTAGTTGGCTCTGTACCAAGTTCCAGATTTCTATCTTCAAAAACACAAAAGTTGGGTCAATTCCGATCTTTCAGTTATATGGCAGCTATAGGATATAGTCGGCCGATCCTTATGAAATTCGGCATGTCGTAATGTTTTGCCAAAAATAGCCCTCATGTCAAATTTGAACTCTCTAACTCCTAAAACATCAAAGTTATACCATTTCCATTCAATTAGTTATATGGCAGCTATAGGATATAGTCGGCCGATCCCGGTCGTTCCGACTTATATACTGCGTGCAAAGGAATGAAGGGTGTGTGCAAAGTTTCAAGTCGATAGCTTTAAAACTGAGAGACTAGTTCGCGTAGAAACAGACAGACGGACAGACAGACGGACAGACGGACATGCTCATATCAGCTCAGGAGGTGATCCTGATCAAGAATATATATACTTTATAGGGTTGGAGATGTCTTCTTCACTGCGTTGCACACTTTTGGACAAAATTATAATACCCTCTGCAAGGGTATAAAAATGTTTGCTGAGAATCCATGCCTTTTAACATTAAAGGTTAGTTGAAGTGTGGGTGGAAGAGATGGGTACCGGGTAAAATATAGTCGGGAAACTCATATACCGCCGTCCTTTCTAGTTTTTTAGAGACACTCTGCAAGGGTAGAAACAGAAAGGAAATGTAACTTCGGGCGGGTATAAATATGATCAAAACCAAAGTTGGATCCTTTCAGATCGTTCAGTTATGTGGCAGTTAATATATGTAGTTGGCCGATCCTTATACAATTGGATAACCTTCTATCTTAATATCTTAAAAAACAGAATGTTATTTGATTTCTGAGTTATATGGCAATCATAGGTTATAGTCGGCCGATCCTTACAAAATTTGATAAAACAAATCAATTCAAAAATAAAATCCATAGAATATTCCAATATATAGAGTTTTCCGACCCATCATTTATATGGCAGCTTTAGATATAGTCGGCTTACATCGGCCGATATATAGGAGAT